CTAATAAAGGCCAGATGGATTTTTATTTTACTGTATTTAGAAGTGTTCTTGATGTATATCTGTAGACTTTCCTAATCTGTATTATCGTTTAACTTATTGCGGAAAAACTCGATTATCAATCTTCTTGAATTTCCCGAAAAATTGAAATGGTGGTTAGGAGGTCGTCTACTTCCTGAATTTCCCGAAAAATTGAAATGGTGGTTAGGAGGTCGCCTACTTTAACTTACAACATTTAACTTATTGCGGAAAAACCCGATTATCAAATTGCAGGTTTCTTGAATTTTCCGAAAGATTGAGATGGTGGTTAGGAGGTCGTCTACTTCAACTTACCTGTGGTTCAACTTACTGTTCTGGATTGATGGTTAGGAGGTCGTCTAATTCAACTTACCTGAGGTCCAACTTACCGTTCCGGAGTGAGATTAGTGTAGTCTGCGGCGCGAAGCGCAGCGCACACATGCGGAACAACCTGCTCCCAGCGGCCTCGGGACGCAACTTCGAATGCATTTTTTTTCACTTTACACTTCTAAAAATTTCTTTCTCTGTCTATCCTATTTCTCAATCCCCCAGAACTCTATAAACACCGTTTTTGCAGGACAAAATGCTGGGATTAGGGGTATATGAGTGGGTCTACGTAAGCTACTTTTGCAGGAAAATATTTACTTAGAGGGATGATTATTTTTTGCGTTTCGTCATTGGAAGTAAACTCACTCACGCGACACCAAAGTGCTAGCAGTTACCCCCTTGTGAACTCGAACAAAAATGCATCTAGGTGTTCCGCTTTACCTGCTTTATTTTGCGCCAGCTGGACGAAGACTGTACAAAGGACTATTTTCACAGCGTTTTCAGTCTTCACAAAAGTACAAAGTTCATAGTAAGTTATTTAAGTCCGACGATCACTATAAAGGCAGTCAGCCTACGGTTCCAGAACCCGTCCCATTTTGTTGTTTGTACTTTGTATGTTAAACAATTTAACCGCACCTGTCATATGATGCGCGTTTTAACCTTGACAGTTTGATGTGCAAGGTAGCAAAGCGTCCTTAATGCGACATTTCAGCAAGGAAATTACATTGTCAAAATTTCGCTTAACAGGCGCCGCAGACCAGTAGACCACACAAACAATATTTTTGTGTACCCTTCTCTACTTTTGTGTGCACAGCTGTTTGTCTAGTAAGCTACAAAGAGGCCGCGTGCTGCTGTGATGTTAGGTGCTCTAAGTTGCACCCCAAGATGACCGTTTAATGAGTACTTGAGCGTGTTTTATAAATGGGTAGTGACAATAACTGATGTCGGCTCAAGTGCAGCCTTAAGGGTGTTTCACGCCTGTCTCCTTACTCACTTTTACACTGAAAAGTGATCTGTGATGTAGAAGTAACGATGGAAGCAATAATAATAATTCGTTGCAAAAACTGTCACGCGGCACTCAGATTGCGGCTGATTGTCCTATTCTATAAGGTCCTACTGCATCTGCAAACGCACAGGATTTTAATGCACTAGTAAGTTTGTGTAAATTCCAAAAAAA